CTTCATCCATCCTTGTTAGTTAAGATCTTTCAAGTTCGGTTCCTCACCCAACCAAGTCATTAGGACATCCGCCCCCTACCAGATTTCCAAGAAAAAAATATCCCACCTCAAGTTCACTCAGGAGCAAAGATATAACCAATCTAAAACGGTAAAATTAGCTGAAATGCCCTGTATACTAGATTGTTTACTGCGCAGAAAGGCTTGAAGGAAAGATTTATCCGATTTTCTAATTCCAATTGTACCGAAGGTATCTATGAAAGCACTGGTAAGTTATAACTCACATTTATTCTCACCGAGTTGAAACAAATCAAATCACAGCCACCATCTACATTTGCACAGTGCATTAGTGTAATCTTGTCTAAGAAATTAGTGAAAACAAGTGAACAGTGAAATACCAGTGTATTTAAATGATCTTTATTGAGGTATCATCAATGTTACAAGCAATATTTCAGATATTCAACATTTTATATTCTATTCTTACTGTTATGATTAACATTTCATAACACATTATCCAGAAGCATATTTAAATGTTCCTTTTGGACAGAAGGTCCCCTCAACACATTGTTTCTTACAATTGGGATTGTGATCACCACAAGTTGGGGACATAATGATCCACGTTTATACTTTCTGGATTGAATCATCATTAGAAGCAGACCCACCGCTAGAAGAGCTAGATGCACTACTCGAAGCGCTGGAACTACTGTCCGAAGAGTTGTCTCCATTGCTAGAACAGTTCTTAACACATTCGCCAGAACTATTCAGTAATGTGCCTTCTGGACAGAAACAGCCTTCAACACAAACCTGTGCACAGGCTTCGGGTTTAGGAGCAGCACAAGTTGGAGCACATGCTGATCCACACTTGTTATATATCTTTGGATTGGGGCACGAAGGGTTAGAAGTACTGCTTGAAGAGCTAGATGCACTGCTCGAAGCGCTGGACGCACTGCCTGAAGAATTGGATCCACTACTAGAACAGTTCTTCACACATTCTCCTGAACCATTCAGCAATGTTCCTTCTGGACAGAAACAGCCTTCAACACAAACAGCAGTACAGACTTCTGGTTTAGGATTAGCACAAGTTGGAGTACGAGCTGATCCACCCTTGTTATATATCTTTGGACTCGGGCACGAAGGGGTAGACCCACTACCTGGACAGTTCTTGACACATTCTCCAGAACGATTCAGCAATGTGCCTTTTGGACAGAAACAGCCTTTAACACATTGAAGCGTACAAATGGGGTTAGGATTGTCACAAGTTGGAGGACATGCTGATCCACATGTAGAAAATACCTTTGGCTTCGTGCACTTCTCAACACATTTTCCAGGAGCATCATAGACACAATCAGTAAATACTTTGGAAGCATTGGAAATAACTCGGAAAGAAAACAAGAAGCAAAGGAGAAGAGTGTAACCAAAATAATTATCATTGACTTCATATTGAAAGAAAAGGTTAACAATTTCGGTGGTCTAAACCAATTTTTATTTTCTGGTAAAACATATATAGGGTTAGGTGATCACACTGAATTCATATAGTGAACTATACAGGTCAGTGTCACAGCTATAAGGTCACTCGATAGTTGGAGGTTGATCAGGAAACGGCACAATGAATAAGTAAATGTTGAGAGATAGTTAGCCGAGTTGAGTTTTAAATTGCACTAGTGTATTTCATCTGAGTTTTAATGTCGATTCCGATGTGTGGAAGTGGTTAACTTGATGTTTAATTATAGGAACCGATCTAGTCAAAATTGTAGTCACTTTTATTGTACTCTAAGTTAGTTCACTGGTGATCACTAATAAGGTAAAGTTGATTGATGGAGTATAATCTCATTAAAAGAGTCACAATAGTCACTTTTCCTTTGATGAGGATTAATATAAGTAAAGTTGTTCCACTGTAAAAGATCTAGTCAAACTAGCACATTCAAGTCACTATTCCGGTGAGTTATTATTGTTGGTAAAGTTGATCTACGAGGAATTGAATCTCATAAGTTAACAGGCACATTTAACCATTTCACTTTGTAAATAGTCTAACGATGATTCAGTTCAGTATTCGTGTTAAATTTCACCAGGGCTTCCGCGGGTGGCTGTCTCGCGCTCAAAACAAAGAAAAGTCGGCCATTTTATGCGGAGCGAGGGAGAAATTCGTCTCCCTTAAAATGGCCGACCCAGCAAAAAACCAACCAATTGTGGCCTTTCCCTACCTACTAGAGGTAGGGAAAGGTAGTGTTAACCAAGAACTGGTTAAAAACCAGTTTTTTCTTTTCAGTTGACCGGGGCACCAAAAGAACGTCCTCGTTCTGAAAATACAAACTAAAATATGGATTAGTAATAAGATGAAAATAACATGTTAAACAATGAAAATGCGTGATTAATATTCATCGTTTTTCACCAGTCATTAATAGATAAATTTGAATTGACCATTCGTCTTATGGTCTCTGAGCTCGGAACATAATTAATATAATCGGCTAATTTTAGATACTCCATATATCCTCGTAGAGTAACTCTCGCATCTCTCTCTGGTGAATGTCCAGCGATGGTGTTCGTTGGATCGTCACGTTTCAATTTTGGGTTTTCAGGGAAAAAGAATTTATCAACATAAGTTAACCCTAACGGTTGTTGACCAGGCCATAGTGATTGTAAATCAATGCAAGTAACATCGTTATCCATCAGGTGAGTTGGCGTAAATTTTAATAATCTTAAATCACCATCTCCTTGCGTGATGACTCGTTTACCTCGTAATATATTAAGGACGGTTGAACGAACTTGATGAAAAGGTATACCTGTCGCTAAATCGATAGGTTGCAGTCCTGTGATTTTGGTATTTGAATAAAATGAATTTTCAGACTTAACTTCGTCATAATAAATTGTTTGAATTCTAATTATATTTCCGAACCATCCAGATATGTGAATATTTCCAACACCTCCACTTCCATTTCCTTCCATATCGAGTGATAAAGTAGGCAAAGGTGGAGAACCAATTGGCTCTAATTTCTCCAGAATTCTCGGGTCGTATTTTCCAGGGATTTTATACCAAATATTTCCGGTAAACTCTTTTCTAATTTTCCGTCTTAATTGTCTTCTTTCCTCCCTACGTTTGTTGAAAGGTTTAACCACAGGCTGAACTTGAAGAGTAACTTGTCCTATTCTCTTAATTAACTCAGGGCAATTTTTTCTAAGGTGAGTATTACTGGAACAAAATGAACAATTTTTACATTCCATTTTTTGATGATCAGGGGCAAAGCACAAACTGCAGTGGAATAAGGGTATTGGAGTGAGTTGAATCCATCTCGATCTTCCAGTCTTCTGTTTAATTCGTCTAGCTATTTCTTTTATTTCTTTTATCAGGAAGTTATGGGCATGATTTATCACTCTCTGCGTATGTGCTGTTATCGTTAACTTTGTGTATTTGTGCATTTTAGGTGGAGTTCCTGACATTTTACAACCTTTAACATTCTTTTTGGCGACTCCATAACCATTTACAAAATTCCAAGCATAACAAGAGAGGATCAGGTAATGTTGATAAAGTAGAATAGGTTTCTTTTCTCCATTTTCATCTGAATATTTCGGATTTCTCCACCTTGGTTGATTTCTCTCCATCCTGTTAGATAAAAGAAAAGAAAAGAAAATGATTAATCAGTCCCAATCACCGGGACTTTTATTTATGACCCATCTCTGGTCACTTTAAACTTAGCCCAATCACCGGGCTCTTATTTTTTATGTTTTTTTTTACCCCAATCACCGGGTGTTTGTGTTATATTTTTTTTTTCTCATCCCACTCACCGGGCTTTCACTTTTATCTTTTAGCTTTGTCATTAATAGAATTCCGTTATCTTATTAGTTTTTTGTTTTGTTTTGAATTTTGTGGTTTTTTTTTGTTTTTTTTTCATTTTATCATTTCCCATCACCATAATTATTTCCCAAAGTTTATTTTAATAACATTTATGTAAAGGTATCACTTCTGGTTGTCTTTTATCTTTTGTTTTATTTCTGTTACCTCTCTCATCGTAAACTATTGAGTATACAGTTCGCTTTGGAGTGAACATAAAACGTACGCTAAGAGAACATAATAAGAAGCAAATGGTTACTAATAATGAAATTGAAATCCATTTAACATAATCAAATTTCCAAGTAAGAGTGATTTTCTCGAAACTAAAAAAGTACTTTCTCTTGAGCTGCCTCTAGGAGTTCAAACTCTAAGGGCGCTATATTGATTTCTTGATAAGCTTGTTGAAACAGTTTTAAATTAATTGCTTGAGTATGTTCTGTTACTCTAGGACCTCTAACGTAAATGAAAAATTGTTGGAAGTATACTTTATGTCATCAATACTAAAATTGGTATATTTTGATAGTTTGATAACTTGATTTGGACATGAATATATACCTGAGTATATTTCAATTTTATGTCCTGCACAATGAATCAAATAATGATCACCCATATTTTTAACTTGGATTTTCTCTGCCACAATTGTTTCATTTACGTTTTTAGATACACAATGCTCGTCTCTCCAGAGCTGTGTTCTATTAAACTTATTTGGACAGGTTGTCACTTTAGTGAAAACAGGGTTTGGTGACTTCAACTCACTTTCATCAATTTCACAGAACTGATATGTGGTGGTATTTACTAATAAATATTCTGGTCCTCTGTATCTACTTTTACATGTATGTGTCGCATTGGTTTTATACAATATAAATGGGTCAGCTTGGAATACTTTCATAATTTGATCGTGCCTAAATGTTGTGAAATTCAGACTTAAAATTGGATATCGTTCTTCATTGTGATTTTAACTGAAATTTTTTCAATAACTGATAAGTCACAATAGTCACAATTTAACTCAACTTTCAAAGACTTAAAGAAATTTGGATCTATTGTTGGTGATGATTTTGTTATGCTTTCGTTAAATTTTTGCATAGTGATTAGCTGAGCATTTGAACAGGTCACTATATCAGCGGCTTGAAAGGACACAATAGGTATTAGTTTTTTTATCAACTCGATTTGTTGTCGTTGATCATAAAGAGTTCTTGCAATATCCATCAAGTGAGCGTTTTGTTTTTTTAGTCAATGTCAGGTGTCATTATAGTTTTATATACCCATGCTACTCCTGTAAGTACTACACCGCCCACCGCAATAACTGTTGTCCCAACAGCTAAAGAGGTGAGTAGTTCCCTTTTTATTAACTGCGGAGATCTCTCTTCCTTAGGTCTAATTGTTGGAATAAATCGAATTGGCTTAATATATTTTTCTTCAATAAAGTTCGAACAGTAATCTTGTAATGAAAACAAATATGTTCTAGTAGGTGCACATGTATAATTTAAAGTACGACATCCCTGTCCAGGGTGTGATCTATTCCTTATCTGCGGAGATCTCTCTTCCTTAGGTCTAATTGTTGGAATAAATCGAATTGGCTTAATATATTTTTCTTTAATAAAGTTCGAACAGTAATCTTGTAATGAAAACAAATATGTTCTAGTAGGTGCACATGTATAATTTAAAGTACGACATCCCTGTCCAGGGTGTGATCTATTCCTTATCTCCCCAAAGTCATCTGCTTTGAAGTTCATCATTTCTGCACAAGGGTTCGTGAAAGCCAAAAACAACCTTATCTCTTGGGTCGCCTTCCTTGGTTTGTAGCCGGTTTCTTTCCATAAAATTGTATCTCCGGTTATGAAAGGGTTGATTTGGCTAGCTACTAAGCAAATTAGTCCCATTAAAAGTATTAAGGACGTTGATAAGAATGAGCGATAAGGTTTTATTTTTCCTACTCTATTAATACTAGTAACCTTTTGTGAATTTTGTATTGGTCTATGGAAAGGTTTAAGTTGGCTTCCATGAGCCCTTTTTATTTTTCCTTTTTCTCCTAATGGTAGAATTCTGTAGGTTGTTTTTCCTAATTTTTCTATTATTTTGTATGGACCTGAGAATTTCGGAGTTAACTTCTTTGATCCCTGATAAATCCTATACATTACCTCTTCTCCTACATTGAAGTCTCTGAGTTTTTTCATGTCGTGTTGAATCTTCTGGTTTTCCTTTGATTCTATTGAGTAAAGTCTGGCTTGATCTCGTAATTGAGGCCATTGTGAAATGGATTCTCTAACTGTTTTTGGTAAACTTTTGAATGTTTTCGTATTTAAAATAATGTCTATTGGTAGAACAGGGTGTCTTCCATACAATAGGTAAAAAGGGGAACTTTTAGTAGATTTATTAACGCTAGTGTTGTAAGCAAATCCCATCACCGGAATTAATCTTGCCCACTTTTTACGGTTTTCATTCTGACAATAGTGTGTCAACATTGTACAAACGGTTTGATTAGCTTTCTCCGTCAAACCATTTGTTGCTGGGTGATAAGATGTTGAGAAGGACCATTTACTTCCCATAAAATTTTTAACTTCTCCAACAATTGAAGAGATAAAATTTCTACCCTGATCACTCAGGATTGTCTTTGGACAACCATGACGAAGGAAGATTTTATTAACTAAAAATTCCGCAATGGTTTCAGCCATCAA